AAAACAACCCTGTCCAGTTTTAAACCTGTTTTCTACAAAAGAGAATTATCTGATCGCCCCAAGCTGCTTTTCCTGGAAGTGGTCTTACCATTGCTCTGTGGTCTGTAAAAGACAAATAAATTTCTAGGCCAGGCCTCCTCATATACCAGTGTTTATGGTTTTCATAAGAAAAATAAAAGTTTGTCTTAAGAGCATGTCACCATCGTGGAGTTATTTTCCTCTCTACCTTCAAGGACTATTTTTGAGTTCCCCTTTGCCTTGTGGAATGTTCCAGACTGACGCATCTCTCTCCCCGAGGTCTTCTGCAGCTGCAGTATTTTCAAGCGTTCATTTGTTGGGAAACCTGGCTGGCCAGATCCGATATATTCCTTTGAGACACAACTCCAGTCATTTTTTTTTTTAACGATAAAAAATTATTCACTTGTCTTTTAAAACCATTTGCAGACACGGAGTAACATTTTACAGGGCCCTGATTTTTCACCCACCCTCCCCTCCTCTCACAATGTGTCTTCTTATGTAATGTTGCGTTAGCGTTTCTGTCCTTTCATCCTTATGCTAACAGCCTGGTGGTGTTTTATTTTTACTGCTAACTACCTCACCTCCACTCATCAATATGAGATGGCATGAATAATTAATAACCAACAAGAAATCATATCCAGTGATTCAGTCGTTTAAAAAAATCTTGTACATTTAGGCTAAAGGCACCTTCGTCATATGGGGCAGCTGAACCTGCTGAATAGCCCACGTCACCCTTTCTGCCCCTGGTCCGTACCCGAGAGGGATAAATAAACTCTTCAACCCACGTTGCTCGGTTTTTCAAAATCCAAATTCCCTTCCAGTGAGCAAAATACCCTCACCGTGTTGGGTTTTTTTAATCTTTTTTTTCCTTCTTTTATTGATGTCAGAGAGAGGAAAGGAGAGGGAGAGAGAGAGAAACATCGATGATGAGAGAGTCATTGATGGGCTGCCTCCCGCCTCCCCCTCCTGGGGATGGAGCCTGAAGCCCGGGCATGAACTGTGACCATGTGGTTCACAGGTCGGCGCTCAACCACTGGGCCACGCCGGCCCGGCTCACTGTGTTTTTGACGTTAGGTGAAATGTAGAATAAACACATTATAATAATCTTGTTTAACGTGAGGATAGCTCAGTCTATCGGTTTAATATCTTTGAACCCCAGCAGAGGAAGAAGTTAGAATTCTAATATCCCTATGAGAACACTCCCCAACTTAATTTTCATTCACAAATGTAGTTAGATGTTCCAAGAAAAAAAAAAAATTTAGCTAACTTGACTTGGTGGCATCAATGTCCTAAATGCAACCTGGACCATTAGGAAAGGCAGAGAACCTGCCCGCTCAGGGTACCTGTGATGTTACTGTTAACTCTATAGGTACCTATTATGGCAGCCAAAAGGTAAGGAGCCAATATTAGAAGAAGCCCTTATAAAACCCTTGCCCAGGAGTTTTCAGAACTTACAATTAAGCAGCATGGCTTAATAAAAACAAAAACAAAAGCCGAGTTATTTTTGCAGCCCTGGTAAGCAGGAGTAACTTCCGCGGTGGTTTTGAATTGGTCTCGAATTGGGATATTTATCCCAGCTGCTCTTTCTCACTAGTCTTAAAGGCTCCGGTAGCTTAGCAGACCTTCCCTGATATCTTTTATTCAAACACTCATCCTTCTAGAGTTCTGGCAAGTTTTTATTACCACCCCAAGAGGCGGCAGAGGGCTCCCTCCCCCTGCGGCTCAGGGTCCCTTGGCACCAACCCTCTCTTCCCAGAGCTCATGTCCTTGTGATTCGTGCTCTTTGCCAACATCTTCTCTCTGCCCTGCTGAGGTTTCTTAAGAAAGCCAGGCTCTTCCACTTTCTGAGCCACAAAATACAGTTTCTTCATAACTTCTCATTTTTTGAGTAGATATGCAGCACAGAGTCTCCGGAAGCTGTGTCCCCATAGGAACAGCCAGTTCCCTATATTTGTCCTGAAGCTACGCACAATCCCCCTTCAGAGAAGACAAAGGAGGTGGCTCGAGTGAAAGGAACCCACAGGGCTTAGGACAAGCACAAACTGGATGTGTTATGGCTTAAGCAGCTGCAGCTAAATGTCCACCAGCTGTGGCTAGCATTTTGCAACAAGTCCATTAAAATATATTGAATGGCCCGGCTGGTGTGGCTCAGCGGTTGAGCATCGACCTAGGGTCCAGGAGATGCCGGTTTGATTCCTGGTCAGGGCACGTGCCTGGATTTTGGGCTCGAGGGACAGATAAAAGGAACAGATAAAAGGCCCATGTGTCTAGAGTCTCAGAAAGGTGGGCAGGGGCCACGTCACAGCAGCGTGCTTCCCGGCTTCTGTGGTCTCAAAACAGAAGAGGCTGTGACGTGTCCGAGGGTGAACTCTGCACTTAATCTCTCCTTCCAGCTCTAGGGTTCCTCGTTAGCCCCATAAATGTCAACAACAACTGCCACCTGGTCCTCAAACATTTCAAAGTCTGTCATCCTCCGGGGAGCGCCGGATGCGTGACAATGAATTTCCTTCGTGGTGAAGGGGACCAGAAGCTTTGTTTTCTTGGATATGGATTTTGAGCTGTTTAGGAAGAAACAGAAAACGGAGAAAGAAACTAGGACCCTCCCTCCTCTGCTGCCCAAGAGATCCGGGTAGAAAGACCTGCTTCGGGAAGGAAGTCTTAGGAGGTTCGCCGAGGCCTAGCTTGAATTCAGTCTGGTAAACGGGGGGCTTCAGGCAGGGGCCTGTTAGCTGGGTGCCCTGCGGCCCGTTTCTCCTGCGGCCCCTGCGAGAGGCTGCCTGCCGCCTGTGTTCCGCTCTTCCTCGGCCTCCTGTGAACCCACCCCCGCCTCTAAATCTAATGGGTCACTCTCCTCTCTTCTCCTTTGTCCAAAACGACGCCCAGTGTGTACCCGGTGTTGCCTTGCATCTGGAATTTTCCTGTTTATGTGAATTCCCCACGCGCATGCATTAAAATCTGATTTTCTCCTGATAATCTGTCTCTGCTCATTTGATGGTTAGCCCAGCTAGAGGAATTTGGAAGCTGGGAGAAAAAGCATTCATTCATAAATTTTTTTAGCCCCCAAGGCAGATATATCACCCGACGCCCGCACCAGACTAAGGTCCCACACGAGTCGCACCAAGAACTGGGCGGGCTTTTCCTCGCCGGAGAGCAGGTGGGAGCTCACGGGCAGCTTGAGCCTCACTTTCTCCAGAGACCGGCTTGTCTGTGAGATCAAGGCGGGGTCAACCCACGGGCTGAATAAAGAGCCACTGGATGCTAAACCTCTGCTTGTCCCAGGATCTCTCTCCCACTGACCTGCCAAATAGCGCCAAGAGCAAACTAACAAACACCTGAGCTAGTTTGTGTTATTTCTTTGGGTTGCAGCGTGAAGTCTTCCATTAAAATAAGTCTGTTCAGTGTACTATTTACAGACACCTCCTCCGGCCCCTGGGGAATGAGCTGAAAACACATCCGCTTCGACGTGTCCTTGCGAAGAAGCGAGGGGACGGGAACAGGGGGTTGCTGGCCGGGGCGTGGCGGAGCCCCTTGCAGTCCCTGGGCGCTGGTAGCCGCCAGGCAGCCCTTCGTGGGCGGTGTCGCCTTTGTCACCCTTGGTTGTCGTGATTGTCAACCCTGGGTTCTGAGCTCTTCGCTTTCCGATGAGGAAACAAGGTCCGCAGACAGTAGACGGTGGATCCAAGGTTGAGTTGAGGCCACGCTCTAAATCCCTGCACCACACAGCAGCATTCACGGGAGGTGGGGACTGAGTTTCATGCATCTCTTCCCTCCCGGCACAGGAATAAATAGGCCTCACGAGAGAGCCTGGGGAGGCAGCCCAGGCCGGGGGGGGGCCCAGACCAGAACTTTCTGGGGTGCTAAGAATGTTCTGAAAAGGAAGGAAGGATGGGCAAAGCACTGGTAAGAAAGCTCAGAGAGTCATGCCCACCACTCAGAAAGTGTGACGTTTTACGCGTGGTAATCACACCCGGCAGTTTTCGATTTTTCTTGGCAACGGCTCCGCTTGCCGCCACGTTTCCTTCTGCCTCCTTGGTCTTGGTGTGGGGTCTTCTCTGTTTAGGTTCTGGCGGCACACGGGTTAAAGCAGCAACCTCGCTCTCATGTTGCACACTATTTTCAACCGGATTGCGGTGAACGTGTGAATTGGAGGCCGGCGCATGGAGAAAAAGACACATGAAATACCAAGTGTTTCAAAACTGCATCTATAAGGTTTATTTTATATTTTCCAACACCTTGGTCACTGGACCTGTTACATTTATCAGCTTTCTGAGGTGATGGGGCAGATGTCCATAAAAGATCAGTGACAATACAAGCGTCTTTAACGGAGATTTAAAAGTACAATGAAAATAGGACTCTGTTGGTTTATAGAAATAAAGAAGTATAATAAGTTCCTAATAGCAAGTTTTTAGTTTTCCAGACTATGTGTGTATGATTGATAGTATTACCAGTGGATATGTTATCCAGTATATTGATATCAAATATTATGACCAATGAATGATATTTTAATATTTTTAGCCATAAAAATATATTAAAATCTTTTTCAATAAGTATACTTTTTGACATGGTCACTTAAATTATTAATAAATTATCAGCTTTACAAAGTATCAAACTTGCTGAAGAGTAAAATATGTGGATTTCTCAGTCTAGGTTACAAAAAAGGGTTTTAAGTTTTTGATTAAAAAAATTACACAAAATTATTTGTATATCATAACCAGAGATTAAAGCAATCTTATAAAATTAAACTTATTTATTCAGCATTAGGCAGGACAATGGGATCAGGGCGACCTGCAGAGAGGTGGAGGCTGTGACCGGGAGGTGGGCTCGGTCAGGTGCCTCTGTCCCTCTCGTGACTGCATTTGCCCAGCACTCACTCCTCTCGCCACACCCAAAACCATGCCAGTGCTTCCAATATAGGTTCTAAATATAAACGTTAATGCTATAAAAAGAAATGTCTTTAAGAAAACCCAAAAAACCCCACAGGCTTGAATGGAAACACAGGATCTTTGGGATCTTAAGAATCGTCCGGTGGGAGGAGTTTCCACCTCATGGAGGGTTGAAGTTCATCATCAAAATCCTCCAGCTCCTGCTCCTTGGAGAGCTCCAGGAAAACCTAAAAGGGGGTGAGAAATAGAGAGACAGGGATGTCACTCTGTCTCTTGTAGCTCCAAGAGAGCGGAAAGTGTACGTACTTCTGGTACATTTATATCCCACGGATGATAGAAGATCACTAAAACTGACCCACCTGCTCCAGCGTGGACTGTGAGAGGCTGTAGTCCTCCAGGTCGAAGCTCTGTTTAACTGCACAAGGATGGATGTACATTAGGGGTTTGTATGTTTTTATATCCAGATGGTCTCAGAAGTCAGCATAAGATACAAATAACAATTTTTTAAAAATGATAAATGAAAAGGTTAAGACAATAACTGTTGATGGTTTAAAGACAACATTCAGCTAACAGAGCGCCGATGCATTCGCAGAGGCCTGGGGGAAAGGCGCTGGTGTTATGTCCGCATGTCGCACAGTTTTGAGATGTCCGTGTGAGAGAGGAAACGGCCCTGGGGAGGCTGCCTTCCCAGCAGGGGAGCCGGGGCTTTCGTATATTTAGCACAGGAGGAGGTGGAAGGCAGACACATTTTGAAAAGGGTCGCATCAGAAGACTATAGAGAAAGAGGCCTGCGGTTTTTCAGGGAGCAGGTAATCCACACGGGCCTCTTTCCATCAATGCGGCTTGAACCAGATCAAGTTGAAATCCCTTCTCCTTGAGCAAAATGGACTGGGCAAGGTAGTTAGAGTCCCAGTAAGAGTCTAGCAGACTGGAAATATGCCACCAACAGAATGAGATTGGAAATATACCAGCAAAGGTACCAGGCTAGTGCTGGCCACAGTGATGGCTTTTCTTTCCAATACACAGACACACACACACACACACACACACACAAAGACATGGAAAAAACCCAGAAAGCAAGAGTAATAATCAGACCCATGATCCCACCCTGACACACACACACAGAATTCCTCCACTTCCTTGGCACTGTGATTCTAAATTTCAATTTGAGATTTTAACTTTCGAATTTAACACATTGTACCACTTTTTGTTTTTGGTCATGGCGGAGGATTATTTTATGATTTGAAATTATCCGCTCTCAGGCTCTTGTTTCAAAGCGCATCACTCTTACCCTTCTCTAATTTGAAGAAGGCCTGGGCTAAAGGTCGGACATCTTCCACCGGCAGCTTGTAGACCATCAGAGACGAGTACCTGGGAGGAGGGGAGGGAGGGGACGCTGACGCCACCGTGACAGAGGCGAACTGGCCCAGGCATCTCCCTCTGGCCTCGACTCTTTCCGTGAGTGTGGTTGGCGGAGGTGAAACGCGCAGGGGGACTCACAAGGAAGAGCGGGGATGGGAGTGAGACCCAGGCAGGTCAGTGCCCCAGCCCCTCGGATGGGGATGAGCAGGTACAGGGCGAAGGAAATTTCCAGATTTGCCAAAGCCACCTTCCGCCTCACTTTCTAAGCTCGACACTGACTCCTCGGCGGTGGCGTCCAACCGGGCCCTGACACCACGCAGTCGCTTCAGGTGTCCCAAGGTGGCCGGAAACCTAAGCGGAGTCTCCCGAGTCCATACCTCTCCCACCTGCCCCTCCCACCCAAACCGCCTGCCTGGCCCAGGAGACATCGCCGAGCCCCTGATTAGGAGACTAGCAACCGCTAGGAATTCAAGCACCACATAATGCCCAGCCTCTATTTTTTAAATAATTTGTTTCTCAGATAAATTCCTCTTTCCATCATTTGAAAATCAGGGAGATTTCGATTTCATTTCCTAAGATACTCTTTTATATATTCACGGAGCCACGATTCTCTTCCGTTTTGCTCGCTCCCTGCACCTCTGTGACATACTTCTATTAAGTCCTGGGCTGCACGGTGAATTACAACATTGCTTCCATATTTATACTCCACAGTAGAAATATATTTTCTGACCTTGTCATTATGACTTGTTTCTCTTTACTATTTCCCTCCAACTCCTAAATGATCTATCTTCTGCAGTAAATTGTAGTTGTTAAAAATTACCCTAAAGGTATTTTTTGAGGTTTTTTTTTAAGTGTAATACTTTTATGAGGATTGTTCCACGACCAGACTCTATATAAAATTGGAAATATCAATAAATTTGAAATAAAAGAATCAGTGTTACATCCCAGTTCTGCCACTTACTAGCCGTCAGGTGATCTAACCTATCTACCAATTTCCATTGATTAAGGTCCCGGGAAAGGCCGGGCGCTCATGATGCCTGTTTGAAATCATCTCATTTTTCACTGGAACACCAGTATCTACTTTAGCAAGTCTCAGTGAGAATTAAATAAGATAACCCGAGACCAGGGTGGTGCCGGGCACATAGTAGGACCACAACACACAACATCAGCTCTTCTCTCTAGTCGACTTTTCACAGTATCCAACAAACAAATCATTTCTTTCTTTCAGGTTTCCTTCTGGGCTAAATGTGGACTCGAATGACTCCCAATGAATGAACCTGACAAGGGAAATGGCCCTTTGATACCAGATCAAAGCCAGTCGCCGTCTTTACCTCTCCTGCCGGGCGGCCAGCGGGAACAGCCGCAGGATCTCGCCGTGCAGGGCCTCCACCTGGGCCAGCGTCTTCACCTTCATCTCCAGCAGGTAGTCTTTGCCAAATCTGCTCTTCAGGTGCTGGATGGAACCGATGCACCTGGAGGGAGGAGGCAGGAGGCAGGAGGCAGGAGGCAGGAGGCAGGAGGCAGGAGGCAGGAGGCAGGAGGCAGGAGGCAGGAGGCAGGAGGAGGTCATCAGAGAGAGAGGCGGAGAATGCAACGCCTGACACTCCTGATCTGCGGCCAGCGCGCCCCGGGGCCTCACCCTGGTCAGGGGGGTCCAGTTCTTCCCGGTGACTTCTCTGCCTGCCCCCCCTCCCGCCATGCACCTGGGGGTCAAGCGGGGGAGGAGGTGGGCACCCACCTCAGCCTGCCCGACACCATGATGGCCACGCGGTCACACACGGCCTCGGCCTCCGCCATGTAGTGGGTGGTCAGGAGGGCGCCCCTCCCCGTGTTTTTGAAGGTGGCCCGGATCGCCTGCCTGCATTGTCAGGAAAATATCGGCAGCTGAGGAAGGCTTCTGAGTAATCAGGAGTGGGCCCAGAAGAAAGCTTTCAGCTGAGCCAGGAGACCAAGCGGGGGGCGGGAGGGGCTCCCCTGGGGCGCGGCTCACCCGGCACCGTGCTGGCTACGGAAATGCCGAGCCAGAGCCAGAGCCCGGCCGTGAATAGGCTGTCGGGGGACGGAGCTGTCACAACCAGGCGGACGGGAAATAAATGCCCGAGGAGCATGCCCGACAACCTCCAGACCCCTCCCTCTGCCCCCACCTTCGCATCTGAACGAGACCAGCCACTGTGTCCCCAGAGGCACCGTAGCTACTGGAAGATCAATGGAGCCATTAGGGTACCCAGAGGGAGCACGCTTGGGCCCTGACCATGGGTACTGTTCCCTTTAATGAGAAATGGTTAGGAAATTATCAGGGAAGGCTTTTGTGGGTTTTTTTTTCCCACCACAACTTCGACCTAAGAAATTGACGTAAGTATGTATAGGTCACCAATGGAATTCAGATTTCATCCATTAAAAACTTCACGAAAATGCAAAAAATAAATAAATCGTGTAAGGGACAATGTTTGCAGGAGTAACACAATTCCCAGGCTCCCTGCAAGGCGTCCACGCGGGCCCCGACCGGGTAGGGCTCCTCACCACATCTGCTGCTGCCCCTCGGGGTCCATGCCCGTGGACGGCTCGTCCAGCAGCACCACCGACGGGTCTCCCAGGATGCTCAGCGCGAAGCACAGCTGGAAGGGGAGGAACAGCGCGTCGGGCACCGACCTGCGGGCTGCGCAGAGGAAGCCCGAGCCCCGCCCCTACCTTTCTCTTGATTCCCTGGGACAAGGCCTTCACGGGCCGCTTCTGCTGGTCCTGCAGCTTGAGCGCCTCCACCAGCCTGAAGGAAACACAGTGGACAAGGGCGGGGAGCAGGGCTCAGAAGTGTGGCTCTGAAAATAGATGCTGGGCCTTGTTACCATGGACTGGTTTGAGCCCCTGCTCCCCTCTCCCCCAATTAGTTTTTCCTCTTAAAAGATTTTAAGTACATTTCATGATATCCAAATAGCTGTCCTATGAAAGCTTATACTTAAATTTTAGTATTTTTGATAAATTTATCAATGTGGCCCGGGTCAGCGTTGACCGTCTCCCGGGAAGCCCTGAGTTTCCCATGAAGGTTGTCACTCCCAACTGTCTCCCTGGACCCCTCGGGTAGAGGACGGGTGTGTCTCCCCGCCATGTACCGTGTGATGGCGACCTTGGCGTCCGCTTTCCTCAGCCCCTTCACCGCGGCGAACACCTCCAGGTGCTCCCTGAGCGTCAGGCTGGGCCACAGCGCGTTCTCCTGAGGGCAGTACCCCAGGAACCCCAGGGGCTCCCCTTCGCTGCTGCCTTTCAGGAGCACCTGCCGAGAAAAGTTCACTCTCAGCCGCTCCGGCCCGCGTCGCTCCTGCGCTTCCGTGACATCTTTCCCTTTCCAAACCTAGAAAAACTAGAGAAAGTCTCCGATCTCATTGGCCTTAATCACCTGCAACCATTTTGCGCTGGAGGAAGGTTGTCAGAGTGTAAATTCATGGAAACACACGAATATTCAGGGGAAGTGCGTAGGGTGACCCGAGAAAGCCTGTCGGCTGGGGACCATTTCAGCAGGAGGGTGACAGGGCGCCTGCCGTGGACAAGGCCAGGGATTTGGGGCAGAGCAGAGCCCTGGGGGGAGAGATGCTCAGTGTGTTCCCGACCCCAGACGAGGGAGCAGAGTGGTCCAGGGAGAAGAGGGAGATGGGACAGTAGGGACATGGAAACCAGCTCCTGAGCAGCAAGGGAAGGCTTCCTCCAGCCACAGTGCGGGAGGAGGTCACTGCGTACGTTTCAGCAGGACAAGGGCACTGCTGGTAGAGACCCCACCGGCTGATACGAGTAGAGCTGATCTCCTGGCAGCCACGTAGTTGTTGGCTTTATCATTAAGCTCTCACTTAACCTGTCACAATATTTCACTCCAGGATATCAATGAACGGTTACCTCTTCGGTGCCCATGCTTAAGGAGACGTGAAATACTGACTTAGGGTCCAGGTGGTGATTGCATTGGAGGGCGGGCTCCACGGAACTGGGGAGTCGGTCAGGGTCGCTAAGCCAGCAGCCTCCCTGAGGGGCCTCGGGGACACCTGCTCTCAGCCGGCTCAGAGCGCCCGTGACCGTGTCCCTCCTTCCCCTTCCGTGGGACGTCGGGCAGTCATGTTCCCGGGGGGCTTTCCCCTTGTGGGCTTGACCCCCACCACGGCGTAGTTCCACAGGCCTCGGCCTTAGGACTCTGTTCTCCACGTCCCCTGGACATGCTTTCCAAAGGAGTTCTTAAGGTTATCTATGTTCTGCACAGAGTTTGGGGGGAAATTTTTCTCTATAATTCTTGTCTCTTTGATAAACAGAGCTATTTTTCTGTTTGGCTGCCCTTCTGTGCAGTCGAATTGCATGTACAGTTCTGTCGACTTCATATCCCTGTTGCTCAGCTTCGAGCCACTCCTTGAAAACACTCCCCCAAGATAGTGTATTTTTACCAAAATGTGTGTTCTGGTAACTAAGCACTTTTAACGGACAATGAATCTGATTGCTTAGTACAGGGTTTTGGGGGGTGTGTTTTTTTAAAACATCTGTATTCATGTTGCAAAGACAGTGCTCATAGAATCTGTATGAATTCTGATACTGATTTCTGATCTAATGCTGGTCATGCCCACTAAATGTCTTTGAAGGCGTGAATAATTACCCCCTTTCAGTGATTCATTTTGGTGAGTATTAAGGTGATAATTTGTGATACATTGTTCTGCCACATTAATCACTCCACTCATCTAACGAATAAATGAGATTTTGCTGGGTATGATATTTTAACATCTTATAAAATTTATTTTGAACACCACTAGGTAACGTGTTTTCCACATGATTCACCTACCTCTCCAGCAGTTGGTTTAGTGTCTCCAGTTATCATTCTAATGGATGTACTTTTACCAGCTCCATTGTGTCCTAGTAATCCTAAAACTTCACCTGGGGGGAAAAAAAAGGTTACACTTAATACAAATTGATTTTTATAGTAAAATTAAGAATAAAACATAGTCTGAAATTCACTGTGTGAAAAGCGTGATGTGTGCTTTGTATGTATATCTCATTTGTCACAACCCCCGAGAGGTTATCATCATAATCCTTTCTTGCATATTTGGGGACAAAAGCTCTTAAGGATGAGGTCAGTTGCCCAGAGTCACACTGATGGGAAGCGAACAAGTCACTCTTGGAAGCTGGGCATGTCAGACTCTGCCTCCTGTGACCCTAAGAACTGCAATAATGTCACCAAATGAGGCCACCTAACCCCTGCTGGTCAAGCCTTCAGAATGGGCTGGCACATCCTGTTTGTTTCCTTGTGAAATGTCATGAACATTAGGGAATTAATCGTGCTCAGGACACGGAAATGCCTGGTTTCAATGGGTCATTTCAACAGACAGCTTATGGCTTCCACCTCGATGTGACCAAGCCCCTATCCAGGGGCATGCGTTAATCTCTTTCTAAAGAAATGAGCCACGTGAAAGGCGTCACCAAGGTCACCCCGCTGATGGGGCCTGTGCTGAACCAAGAGGTGGTCACAGGATGATTCTCATCAGGAACCATAAGGCTCAAAGGAGGGCTGGGAGCCAACAGGGGGAGAGCCCCGGCGTCCAACCTTTCCTAACGCAGAAGGAGACGTTTCTTGTGGCGATCTTTGTCGTCTTCTTGGAAAAGCAGTGTTTCTTCTTCTTGACATACTCCTTGCGCAGACAGCTGGCAATGATGACTGGTTTCTGTAAGTGACAAAGAGATGT